CCATCTAGACTGCAGACAGGACAGTACACATCTACCATCACTACCAGTTCACCTCATTCCCATCTGCAGTGATGGTCCATCCACTTTTTCCTCCTAAGCACTACAATACATCCTCATCCACCACCATCTTTTCTAAGAAAAATGATGGCACAAAAAAGAAGTTTAAAAAACCCACAAATCACCCTCAAACTGCAAACCCAAACAAGAAAACTGCATTTCGTAAAGCAATACATCCCTTGGGATTTCTGAAGAACTTGTAAGATTACAAGTGTAACTTATCAGATTGATCCCCCGCCCGAGACAATATAAGGAAACAAAATTCCAGGTATGTTTGCAAATTACATTTGAGCCCCAAGGGAATGAGGAGAAACACAAGCAGAGCTGAAATGCAAAAAGCTCACTCTATCATTTATGCCTCTTATGGAGACAGATTCAGGCAGAACTTGGGCTCAATAACAGCTTCAGCAGAGTTCTCCTATCCCATCAAATTTCCAGCCAGAAGTAAAACCAGTGATGATGAAGTATGTGGGTTTTTAATTTTGACTCCTTCCTTGTCGTATAAATACAACTGAGGTGACTGCAAATGCTTTGGGGGACCGACTGCTCACCGTGTTGAAACGGTGCCCAGTGAACTGAATCATGGCACCTTAGCTCACGCAAGCTGACACAAGTAGCTGACACTAAACCAAATGATGGGACGTTCTCAGACAAATGTCTCTTTGTAGGAACTGGCAGGAAGAAGGGAAGTTGAAACGTTATAGAAGTGCAGACAGCCTTAGCCCCTAAAAGCCTTAGTTCAAGTTCTGGACTTCATATTACCAACTTGTTTTGGTTATGAAAGATGATCAGCGTATCCACAGAAGAACCAGGAAGAGGCCACAGCGGCCGAGTAACAGCATTTATACCCACTCAGAAGGGCAAACCCCCTCTGCAATCCCTGCAACCACCTCTTGTCAGATCATACCAGACAGGATTTATCTATATTTTTAAGAAAGAGATCAATATGCAGATCAATCACACAATCTTTCCGGAAGCCTTGGAGGCTGACAGCTGCACAGTATATTCTGCTTTGGAGGCTTGCCAGCTGCATCAGACACCTTATCTATACTGGAAAAAGGAGCCAGATGCCTGCCCAGACATTTATCTTTGTAGCACTTAAATTGCTCATACTAAGCCTTCTGAAACTAGGCATTGGGCAACCAGACTATTTTGCATGAAAGACACAGTGAAGCGTCTTGTACTCCTCTTCCATTTTTGTGAGAGAAGGAAGGAAAAAGCAAAGATAATGTGCTTTTTCAAGCAGCAGCAGAAAGTGAAAGAAGGACACATCTTTTAGAACCATGGTAAATGGCAAGAGGAATAACCCTCCTTGCTTAGGTGCCTGCGTTTTCCCCCACTCTGGGGGAAGAAGTGACACGCAGCGGGAAGATCTGCTTCCATAATGAGAAGGTTACACGGCGCCTCTCATCACCCTGTCAGCGAGGTGTGAGCTCTGGCAGATTAGCTGTCAAAAACAGTTTCCTAAATCACATCTTGCTTGAACTAGAGGACCAGAGTATCACAAGAAGAAAACGTTGCCTTCATGCACGGCACACTTAGCACTGCATCCGACGTAAATGGTTTTGGACTGAAGCTCTTTGTTTAGAAGCCTACAGTTACCACAACAAACTGGCCCTCATCACATCTAAGGCCTTGAAAGACTCAAGAGAGCGCAGAAATCACATTAAAAATCCAGGGGAAAAGGGACACATTTGTTATTTCATCTTCACCACGTTGTCTACAAGAGCCAAACATGAGCAAAATAAATCCAGCCGCAAGCCCCACCTCCTCAGAGCAAGGCTGCGCAGGAGAGCAACCTGCGAAGGGACAGAAGGGTGACCAGAGCTCACAGACCGCCAACATCCCACACACACAGTCGCAGGCACGTCAGCTGCCAGCTCTGCAGAGGCTTTAGTGCAGGGTACAAGCTGAGGAGTGGCAGGACACTTGCTGAAAAGGCCCTGTGAAAGGTGTTTTAAACCCTGCTCCAGGACGGTCTCCTGGGTGATTATCAACTCACCATAAACTGCTAGGAGAAACGATAACCTCAGTTCTGTTCTTCATTCTGCCAGTTAGGCAGCTGCTTAAGCTTCTTCTCACTAAACAACACTAAGCTTCTTAAATCTCACTTGAAAACAGAAAATAGGAGCTTATTTATCTGAAAGATGAAGCCATGGAAATATTTGATCCTGTGATTTCTTTCATTCCCCTTAAAACTTAGTATTAATTTAAAGATACCCAGCAAAACTCTGTAGTGTCCCTGCTAAAAGTCAGTAAGAGAATGCAATTATGCATCACCCCCTCTTCAAACTGACCCAACAGTGAATCAAGGGAGAACAACCACCTCTTAACGACATTATAACCAACTGTCAAAAACATGGTGAACATGAGGCCTCTAGTGAGAGGGCAAAATAAAGTTAACAAAACAAATTAAGTAACATTTATTGTTCAAAAAGAAAAAAGAAAGCTTTCCTCCTCACCTAGGTTTGGATTTATGCGAGTTTAGACCCCCCTAGTAACACCCATTTTCCCGTCCTAGTTTACAGAAGCATCTGAAATAGGTCACTAAGAATTAGCGGGTCTAACCAGTGTTGCTCAGCTTTTGCAGATCTGAAGTTTAGGATATAAAGCATCTAACTTCCTTCTGAAAATATTCAGTCTCTGGGAGGAGACACACACACACACACACGTCCTCTCTCTCAGGTAGTTGCTCTCACAGCTGCTGAGCAAGACATACTTGATGGACCCCAATCCCTACTTGAATCAAGTTTTACAATTAAACCTCTCAGCTGAGGGGCATAACCCCCACCAAAATACATTGCTTACACTGACATTACCTTAGTAAGTTCTATGGATAAAGATATTTTTTTTAGTTCTGGAAGTGTTCAGTGTTTTCTGTTTGCATTCCAAGAGCAGCCTGACAGTAACCCAGCACAAGGCCTCTGCCAGATGCTTTCCCTGAAAAAAGTGGGCACCTGTCTTGTGCCTATCAAGTTACCATATTTCAGACTTTCATCCCTCCCCAAATTAAAGCTCTCGAGATAAATCTTAATTCTTCACTTCGGACTTCAAATGTCAAAGAACAACTCCTAATCTTGTTTCTCCCTCTCTGGAGACCCACACTAGGTAGCACCAGAGTATTTTCCTACTGACACAATCTCACCCACAGGAGCCAAGCCACATCTTCTCAGGAGGCTGAGCACAAATGAGTGCTCACGCTTGCTCAGGCACTGTTTCAGCTGCATTTTATTAAAAGGTTATTAGACCTTCCTGTGGGTCTCACTTTCCATGCAAACACCTCCCCCGAGTAGCATGTTGTGTTCTGCACCTTACTGTTTCAAACAACCCAGGATCCTTCTCTTGGTTCACAGTCAACCTCTAAACCTTTCTCCTCAGAATCTAGACATAAGGAGTTTTGCCCCAGTCTTCTTGTATTACTGGCACAAAATATCGGAATTTAGTTCTAACACAGCTCCCTGTAGATTTCAGAATTTAAGGACAAGCACACTGTGTTCAGCCAGAGCAAGCGCAAACTGATTAAGCATATAGATTGTGCTGTATAGCCTTTGGGCAAAGAGGAGTTGGCTCTTCACAATCCACCGTTTCTTCCCTGTGATTGAAGGGACTAAAACCACTGCAGTATACGGCAGACAGAAAGCAGCACTGGCTGCAGTCAGTAGCCAACAGGTGATTAAGCATATAGATTGTGCTGCATAGCCTTTGGGCAAAGAGGAGTTGCAACAAGGCTCTTCACAATCCACCGTTTCTTCCCTGTGATTGAAGGGACTAAAACCACTGCAGTATACGGCAGACAGAAAGCAGCACTGGCTGCAGTCAGTAGCCAACAGGTTACACTAACACAACCACCTGAAGCATCTGTAGATCTGCATCTTCCAACTGGGAAACATCCCCAAAAAGATGATAGCCAGTGAAATCAAAGTGTCCTTGTGGGTGTTTTGACAGAGGAATACACACTCCCTTGTAAAGGAAATATTAGCAAAAAATATTTGTAGTACACTTCAAGTTATTAGTGCAGGGATACTAAAATATTTCTATTAACACAGGGAGAGTGTTCAACTTGTGAGAGGCTAGAATTTTATTGTTCCATAAGTCAATACATAAACACAGCATATGTACCAGAAACTGAAAGTCTGAGTTAACGACTTCAGCTCAAAAACTTTCTTGTGCCCGAGAACTCACCTTTTATTCCAACATACAGCAACAAGGGGTAAGTTTTTTTAATGTTAAATCAATTTCACTGATAGGCAATCTTTCTTTTAGACCAAGCTAAACATTCCAATTCGGAGTTAGAAACCATAAAAGAATATGGTAAATTTATGATACCTGGATTTACAACAGGCCATCCTCAATTCCCTCTTTCTGTCCCAATTGTACAAGCTTGTAAGAGATGAGCACTAGGGGCTCTTCTGAAGGATGCTGCTTCACCTGCAGTACTGAAATTTTGTCACTGGAAGACAGACACCTCTCTATTGCTAGTCAACAGTTTCATAAATGTACTATCCTAAGAGCGTAGCTGGTATGTCCAGTCAACATTAAAGCAAGGAGTTTTCACATGTGCTCCAGAGAGACTGACATTCATACAGGACAAATGTCTCAGTTTCTCTGTCTCTGAATACTTTTTGGTCACCTCACCTGTCAAATCCAATGCATTTCTGACAATTGCTTAAATCTTTCTGAAACTTCTGCCCTGGTAGAAGTCAATTAATTGCATTGAGTGCCATAACTAATTTGTTCAATTCTTATGTGTCACTACAGTAGCATTTATACAATCTTAACTGAAAACTGATGCATCTCAACAGCATTTCATGAAGCAGCTTGTCCCTCTATCTGCATCTGGAGTATCAGTTTAGAAATTATTTTCTTTACTACGCAGTAACAGTAAAACAAAAAGGTAAGGGCTGACTTGCTGTCAAGCCTATTATAAGCAGAGTATTTTACTAATATATTAAAAATAATTTACTTCCCCAAAATAATGTTCAATTACAAGCAGTTTACACTATTTTAAAACAGGGCTAGAAAGTGTTTCAAGAAAAACTATAAAGTCTGAATCACATCGCGCTGAAACAATATGCTGAAATGCTTTAAACTTCTGACTTGCAGCAAAACTGCTTGTAACCATGGATTTTTATTTAGTATGTGCACTAGGTAGGCTGTCAGACAGCTGTGAAGAGGAGTCTGTTTACTTTCTCCTGGCACCTCCGCCACCTGCAAGCATGGTGGCCACCCGAATGAAGATGTTCAGCGTATCCGTGTAGATACCCATGCACCTAGGAAACAGGAAATTAAAGTTTATTGAACAGAAACAGTATTTGGTGTTTCATACCATTATACTTTGTATTTAAAAACCTTCATGAAGCACTAACAAAACCAAACTATGATCATCCTCAGTGCTTGATATGTCAAAAAAACCCGTGTTTTTGTTCTACCATCTCTGCCATCAGGAACTACTTACACAAGTCTTAACAGTATACTGCTCTCATACAGCAGCCCTCTGCTTTTGTGCTACAATTTTATCTTGTTTATCTCCAAGAATTTAGACGATGGTCAGTATTATTTTAATTATTAAAAAAAAACCCCAGAATCAAGGAGGTAAACAATTCACTTCAGATCAGACAGACAACATTTACAAAGAAATTACTTGTTAATCAGGCTTGGTCTGTACTGAGAGACCACAAATCCTCCTTTCCCTATCTATCACACTGTTGACGCTTTTTCATTTATTGAGAAAGACTAGTGAATATTAAGTGACTTTGAACAAGTTAACATTTTTTGTCTCAGCTGATATTGATGGGTATTTTCAGAAAGCAGCTATGAACTCCCCCAACAATGATTTAGAAAACAAAAATGCTTTTTAGAAAGTACTGCTGGAGGCATGCAACGCCACACATTCAACCCTGTTTCTCTCGTTTCAGGCAGATGGTGTCTGTTTTAACTCCACTAGCTCTTCTCACACTGTATTTTTAAACCCTGTGATCCTTCCCATTTAACAGCAATACACTTTTGAGCAGTATACAAAAGGTCTGGCTGTTTTTACAGCATAGTTCGATGTAGCTTGAAGCAAATTCTTACAGAGACACGGAGATCAGCTGGGTTAACACAGAACACTTACGCGTTGATCGGATCATATTTTGTTACTCCGTAATATGGAATTGTTTCTGCACGCTTGATAACGTGCTGTGTATCATAGAGCAGGAACATGCCAAAGAGTACCAATCCACCATAAACAGCTACCGAGTACAAGCCAGCACCAAACGCAGAAGTAGGAGGCAAGAACATGGATCCTGGAGAGGAATGTACAATAATGTTAAAGGAAGCTACTATGTGCATCTGCTACTCTGAGTCAGGTCAAACTTCAGTCACTGTAGCACATGTTTTTCAGAAAGTATTCAATGCTCAACTTGTGGTGCATTTTTGATACCATGAGCTTTAACACACCAGCTGAAGATGTCACATGTGCAGCCTGATCCACTAACTTTGAACACCCTAGGGAATCATGTCTACTTGTCTTCATGTGAAAGTATTTCTGGCCCTAGGACTACAACAATGCCAAGAAACACACACCTAAGGGAGAAGGACAAGTGGCTCAGGAACTAAAATCACATGTACTTTCTTCCCCAGTCACTGGCAGTGGCTAAAAATACAAGCCAACATTATCAGCCCTTTGTCAGCTTAACACTTATCAGAACTGTAACTTGATGTTTGTTTTCAAGAACAAAATTAACAGAGTATTTTCTGCTGGGCTAGAGTGAAAGGGCTATTTAAGGCAAGTCTTAACTGGACAGACTAGTCTGAAATTAAATGTGAGCTGCAACTTAGCAGTTAAAGCTTTTAACTTACTTTATCTGACAGTATCAAAGGAGTATCTTACCAACTGAAGAAGCAAGAACAAAGCCTAAGCCTATTCCAAGTGGTCCTCCCATGTTCAGAAATTTTTCACTCGGAGCACACATGGCCACAGTTGAGAGCCCTCCAACGATTCCGGCCGTGTACCAGGCAGCTCTGATCAGCAAAGGCCCACCCAAGAAGGCCAGAGGAGCCACCACTGCACCCATGACACCTAGACAAAGGAAAACAAAACATCGCCCATAAGAGCTGCAACAGTTCTGGCAAAGACACCACCACCATCTTTTATTTCCCAGTCAGATAACATGGCTCACACTAATCCACTCATATGACAAACACGCTTGATTGTGTGTCTATCTAAAGGTGCCAATTTTTTGGGCTCCCTTCTAAGGTCCTTGAACTACTTTTAACTAGCTCTGGGAGAGTGCTGCAGGGAGCTGGTCTTTGGAGAAGAAAGGTTAATACCAGTCAACATATTGATCTGTTCAAAACAGAGCTGGTAAGAGATACAGGACAGATTTATACCACAACCATTAGTTAGCCGAGTAAGTCAGACTTTTCACCAGTCTTGTATGAAACCTCTAACCAACCTCTTAATGCCATATTAGGCTGCTTAACTAGTAACAAACACTAAGATAAATATAATTTCTTTTGGCAAAAACGTTAGCTTTGGCGAGGCAAATATGATTCCAGTGCTGAACATCCACATGTCTTTCCTGAATCATAAATTATTTCTGGTAAAACAGTTTTGAAAAATGCTAGCCATTGTTATCTGAAGTAGGCATCATTAGCAAAGAACTGATCTGTACTGTCAGAATCTGGTCACACTAAAGCACAAGTATCTACAATGAACTCCGAAACCACATACCTGAATGCATCATCCAAGCCAAATGTTTAGCTGCTGGACTATTTTCATAGGATATGGACCTGACCAACATTCCAGCACCAATCATAGCTGCAAAAGTTGCACCTATTGCCTGTAAAAACAGCATTACAGCAGTGAAGTTAGCATTAGGACATACGGTCTCTGTTCTAACCTCCTAGTCTAAAAGTCAACAGCCTAATTCTGAAAAGAGCAACCTAATAAATAGTTGGAGCATCTATCAACTTTGCTGCTGTAAGGTTACAGTCAATTTTTTGCAGGTCTCAGCCTGCAGTAGTTCCCATTCTGCTTTTACTCTTCTAAGAGTCCAAATGGAGCAGTAAGATGGCAACAAACTCTCAGTTGTGTAAGGAACGAGAAGGAAAACATAATGGTTCTGCCCCTTACTCTACACCTTATCCAGGTACTGAAACTTTTTTCTTGTACATTTCTCCATCAAAAGCCAATACTCAGTTCACAGACTTTTGCTACCAAGGAATTTTAAACCTCATTGCCTCCTTTTACTGGCAATTCCAAGCAGAATCCTCCAGCAGCCAGCAGACTGGTCAGAAACGTACAACCTTGGTTTATCACCACAGATGCATTATTAAATTAATCTCTGTAAAATTATGTAGGTGTTGGCATTTAGCTATTACTGTTCCACTAAAATTAACACACCAAATATGTACTAAGGAGATGCATGTTGTTAACAGTATCACTTCAGTCCTGGCAAACAGGGCAGAGCTTTCAAGGAGCTATACAGAACAGCACAGGGAGGAGTAAGAATGCATAGGGACCTTGTTTTCCATTTTTAGAAAGCTACAGATTTAGTATAAGTAGTCATCTGAGGCTAGCAACAAGAGGTTCTTACTTGCATATAGCTGGTATGGATAGCATAGAATTTTTTTTTCCTTATGTAGTTTGTTTGGACAAACTATCAAAACAGTATAGAAGGTGCACGTCAGCAAGTAATTAGATGCATCAGATCTTAAAACACAAATAACACTAGGATACTTAATTATTCTTTATAGGTAAGGACACTAGTGTAAGTCAAGTTCTGCCTTACTTTCAACCAAGTTGTTTATGTTTCACATTTTTTACGCTGGCCATCACATTTGGGGTCATTTCTCAGTACACATTTTTATTTCCGTAACAGAAGCTTACCAGCCAGGAGCCTCTTGTCATAAGGCTCATGAGTGCCGGAGATCTGCTGACTGCTACAGCAGACAGTGCCGTCAAGCCAATGCTTCCCGCAAAGTACATGTAAGTAGTGCGAATTCTGTCTTTCACATACTGTGGCCAAATACTGAAAAATAAGCAGTCATTCACAGCTGTGCAGTTACTGGTATCAGAACGAAGACCAACTGAAAACACAACCAAGTTGTTAAACATTCATTGCTATGAATATAAGGGAGGTTTTGTGCAACAGTGGTGTGGTCTAGAAACTTCTGCCGTGAGTTTACCTTACAACTGGGGGCTCAACTTTTAAATCTTTCGCACTCCATGCTGGTATAACATAACTCTCTAGAAACCTTACAAAGTACAAATAATGTGAATTATAGTTCAATTCTAAGGAGGAAGCATAGATGGGAAAAAGAATAATGAGTGGTTTTTAACTATGGAAAAACAGAGAATGGTGTGTATGTAACAACCTGTTTAAGGAAAAAGGTCTACAGAATGTGTACTGGGCACTAAGTAGCCTGCTAAGCAGCTCATAAATTGCTGAGTCACAGTGCACAAGTTTATCTGACATCACAAGACACACACATCATTTTCAGAGCTCTAATAATAGCAACAGCACTACAGTTGAACAGGAGTGCCTGCAATACGATTTGGTCATACTACAGGCGGCGCAGGGAAGTGGTGGAGTCACCATCCCTGGAAGTGTTAAAGGAATGTGTAGACATGGTGCTTGAGGACATGGTCTAGGGGGTATGGCAGTGTTGGGCTGATGGTTGGACTGGATGATCTTAGAGGTCTTTTCCAACCTGTGTGATTCTGTGATAGAGAGAGGAAGCTTTCTTTGCTAACACCAAGCTTAAATACAGTGCACACATTTTCTCCCATCTTACTCCTCTGAACCATTACTTCAAGGCTTGTGGAGAAAAAAGTTATGGATAGCTGTGACAATAAAAAGCTTCTCAGATACAACTTGCAAGCATTCAGTATGAATGTAGGTAGTCACTTCCAAAATGAATGCAGACTAAGTGGATCAAAATGTCTCCAGCACTCATTTCTCCCAAGCCCATGCTTATTGCAAACCACCTTTCAAGGCAAAACCATCTAGTTACTTAGATATCACAGTCACGTTTCTGGTGCGCTGCTTTTTGGCCAACGAAGTTTTAAGTAAAATATGTTTATTAGAGCAGGGCTTATGCCAAGGTACTTCATATATTCAAAGGAGACTCTCCTTACAAGCTCTGTATTAAAGTTTAACGAACAGCCTCATGGGAACACCAGGCAAAGCAATCGCAACAATATGTTATACAGAAAACTACCCTTTATCTGTGGCATACCTCGTATTTATGTACTCCTCACAAATGAATTTCAAATTTAGCAACACGAAGGAACTCACTTAAGTCAATATCCATTTAAGCTTGCATAACTGAAATTTTGCTTTCAGTTATATACTTTAAAATCCTGCAGAGGCAAGGGCTTTTCTGTTTTGAGCTCAAAAAACATGTGCACACAGGGTGACACCAGCAAAAGAAGAGACAGATATAAAGAGAAGGAAGATTCATTTAACATGCTCTTCACTTAAAATAGTAAGCCATCTTACTTACACAGCTCTTTCAATAGCTCCAATCTCACTGGACATGCCCAATCCATAGTAACAGAGGGCCCCCAAGCCAACAGCAGCCCCTCCAGCAACAATGAATTTCCCCAGGCGATCAGCTGTATAAATGGGAAAAAAAACCCCACAAACCCATGCTCATGAATGCTTTTTCTTGGATAGTTAATAACATACATGAGTTTTGTTGTATCTGAAATAACTGATCCATGCTAGGTTTCGTTCTTAAAGCTTTGCTTAACTTCAAGTCACTGCGTTACCAGTTCTCAATGAGCTACATGTAAAAAACTCTAGATTCAGCCTATCAACACAACAAAGCTTCATAAAGAAATAAGAAATCAGCTAGTAACATGCCGGGTTTATTGACCATTACAGTGACAGGAACTGCAACACAAAATCAGTTAACAGGTTCTCCAGCAGAAGAGTTCACTATCCAACTCACTATAAAACAGGAGGAAAAACTAGACATTGTGTCCTTTCCTGTCACTCATCTGTCTTTAACACTTGTTCCTTCAAAAGCTCTTTGGTAGCAATTAGATCCAAATCACTTTAAAAAGGGATTTCCAAAGCTCATGTGCAACAACACATGATCTACCATCAGTTTCTACTGTCTGATTTTTAGACATACTGCCCGTGTGCCACGTATCAGATTACTGCTACTAATATAAGCATCAGTAACAAAATGTTGGTTTAACTGCAGAGCAGCTGAGACCAAACACCTTCAGTTGTGTAAGCCTTTAAGACTACACTTTTTCCTAACGTGTCATAACCAAGACACTACCTAGCCGATCTACAAATATTTCTCTTGTCAATTTAATGCTATTTTAGGACATTTACAATCCCTTTTGCTGAATGCTGCCATCTAAAAAGTCTTTGTAACACACTAACATTACGATCTACACTAAATGCACCAGAAAGCACAATAAGGTGTTGGCTTACGTAACAGTAGCAACAGAAGTGCTATTTTTTGCAAACTGCACAAGCTGTACAAAAACCTTTCCTTTGAGCAGTACACAGTAGATGTAGCAAAGCAAGCGCTGGATACAGATACTAAATAGTATGCTAAGTCTCCGTTAAAAGGTAACCATATTCTACTTAATAGTTCTCAACAGCAGCTTCAAGCACAGACAACAGGAAATTTCTCTGTATTGTGACATGTTTGCAGCTTTAAACTTCCCTTGTAAAGACAAGCAGAGAAACTGTCTCCAGTCACTTGAGGGAGACTACTAAGCAAACTTATATATGAAACAATATTCTCAGTCTCTTTAACAGTTTGAAGGAAACCGATTCCTTCAAGAAGTTTTAAGTTAAGCTTCAAAGATTCTCAGTATTTAAAGCAGAGCTACTCTACCTTTAAGTGCTGTTTCTGCAGATGGCTCAAATGCTGCTTCTTTTATTTCCTGGCCAATTTTTCCACGCCTTACACCAGTTCTTACTCGTGTGGCATAACACTGTTAGATTCAGAAATAACATGGGAGAGATTCAGTAAAATAAAATAGAAGACATTTCTTATCAATTTACTTGCTACACTTAAAATTGCTACAACCTATTATTTATCTGCACTTACCTCCGAAAGAGATGAAGCAACTGTGCTCAAGGAAAACAACTAAACATTAAAGTCTAGGAACCTTTGTGAATAACACGCACACACATTCTAGAAGTGCAGAACCAATGCCATGAATTTCAGAAGCTGAAGTTTTCAGTTCTGCTGATAAACAAGGTCAAATGTTTGCATTTCTTCTACTGTAGTCCTGCTGTACTAAACAAAGCCATAAGGCTTTTCTTTAAAGGTAAAAAATCTTTACTTTTTAAGTATTTTCCTTCCTACGTGAAAGCATTCTTTACGTCAACACTTTTATACACTTAACACCCAAGATGGCCCTGCCATAGTTAAGAAATTGCTTTAACCTGGGCTCTAACACATATCAGGGCTAAAGTCTTTGAAAAGCAAGTTTTCACTTTAATATATTATTTAAGACTCTTTCTTGGAAATAGAGAGCCAGGTCAGACAAGCATTTCTGCTTTTCCCACCTTACACAGCTTACTATGTCCGTCTCTAACTACATCCTTTAATTCTTTTTTTTTTTTTCCCCAATAATTTCAATGGGGAAATAGCCATGAGAACAGAAGATATTACTTCAACTGCTCTTAAAACCCCTGGTTTTTTGACTGAGTAATATTCTTCCATCAGTAAATTAAAGTGGATACCTCAAACAGGCAGAAGGCTTGTCAAAACTCACTCAAAACAGGCACCCCATACAAAGCAATTCTTTTGGCAAAACTCTCAACCCTTTAAAGCATTAGCAGTCAGAATGATTAGAAAGAGAATTACCTTACCTGGCTAGGCTGCCACAGCCTGTATGCTTTTATGTTGGAGTTCCTCAAAGCTGGTGAAGCCTGAGTAATGGTGGGGCGGATAGTCTGGCATGATAATGCCCTCAGGCATACTAGCCTTGCAGCCAGCATGGTTGTTCAGACAACAGAGTAAACCCTGCTCCTGCATGAGAAAATATGCTTTACTATTTCATTACATGGTCTTCACACAAAGTACTCTTATATTCCTCATTCTCAACTACACTAAACTCCCTAACAGTAATTGGACAATCACAACAGTACTGTAACAAGAGCTAGAACCTGCTTACATATGCAATTTAACCCTGTTGTATCAGTATTTGTCTCCCATTTTCATCAACAACTCATCTCACAACAAGGTACTTACCTGAAAGTAGGAGGATGTACGACTTTTCATACATATAAATTATATCAGGACCCTTTACATATTTAGGCTTGAGTGACTTTGGCAACTAACTTTCGTTTTGAGAAACAACACTGCATGAACACTCTGCCCTACCAACAGATGTTCAAAAGGATGGTCTAGATTTACATAACCTTCAGCTAAGCATAAACACAAATGAATAAATAATACAATACATGAGGTAGAAAAAGCTTTAGAGAAGTGTTTTGTTTGTTGGTTTGCTTAGGTTTTATGTTATTCTTTGATTAGCTTTGATTATTCTGATTGGCTTTATGGACACAGTACTCAGTCAAGGTCACATCCCGGAACACGAGTTCAGGTCATCTGTGCAGTTTTGACCACAGAACACTGACGTGACTCATGGGCAAATCCACAGCATAAGCAGATACCAAGCCTATGTATTCTGTAAGTGCTATTCAAACGCTACTTACTTCCACAAACAGTGGGTGTACTACACATAAAAAACACCCAGAGTCCTTATAGTTATACATACTTTAACTATGACTATATATAATCTCCGATATCCTAAAATATCCCAACTACCAGAACACTTTTTTTCAAACAACTGCTCACACCTTACATATACAATATCCATCATAACTTAAGAGCATGCTAAATAAAGGTAACTTTAAACATGCATTACAAACAAGAACCCACAGCACTGGGCACTGCACATTGACGACAGGGAAATTAAAATGAGAAACTAATCATGCTGCTTCAAAACGCTACTTTGAAGCTCAGTTACGAACTGCTTTTCTAACCGGAAGTACTTTCAGAGACACATCTTGTTTCTGTTACTAGACCTCACTATTCCACCAGGATGATATGGTTTGCAGGAACTCACAGTTAACAGCTCTGTGATTTTGATCATTTTTTTAAAAACTGACTATTTGAAGCAAGACAACTTCACGCGTTATATTAAGAACAAGGCCGCAAGGCAACAGGGCGTTAAAAACAAAACACCATCAACATTCCAGCCTATCAGCTGGCAAATGCAGCAGCCAGAAAACGCTGCGTCATGCTGCAGTCACTGCTGCACCGAAGCAGAAGGAAACCCATTCCAGACTCGGCAGGGCGGCGTGGCAACCCTGAGGGGGCAGGGAGGCAGCAGAGCCCACCTCAGGCCTAGGCCGGGCCGCGGGCCCTCCCCTGCTTTCGGCCTAGGCCTGGACTCTGTCCCCACTTCCGCGCTCCAGCGAGGCCCCCGCTGCCCAGTCTCGCGGCTCCCCTTCCCCCAAGAGCCCCCACATACCCGCGTAGCCCCTTCTCACCCGCCGAACCCGTCCGACCCCGCTCCAGCACCGCGCACAGACACCCGGAGCGACGCCGCAAGAGCGGAAGTGACGTCACACCACTCCGCGCGCGCCCACTGACTGGCTCGCTCAG